CTCTGCCTGCGCTGCAGAGAGCTGTGCCTGGGACGAGCACTTGTGTGACCAGGGGCTCTGCCTCCACCTGGGCTTCATCTGCGACGGCTTCCATGACTGCACGGACAAGAGCGATGAGGCCAACTGCAGCCTGAAGCACAAAGGTGGGCCAGCCCCCACCCACAGGGGGCAGGGCGGTGGGCTGTGGGGGTCAGGGGTGGGGAAGTGGGGGATAAGGTGAAGGGAGAGGGGTGGGTGGTAAAGCTGCATCTATGTGTGTCCCTCCAGAGTGTGGGGGACCGTTGACTGCCTTGGAGGGGCACTTCTCCACCCCAAACCATCCCCAGCCATACCCACACCAGCAGGTGAGAGAAGGGATGCCAGTAGGGTGGAGGAGGGTGAGGGCAGGCAGGGAGGAAGGCAAACCACTGGGGAGAGCTGAGAGTGCCCCTGCCCAGCCTTATGGGTGTCACTGCCTGATCTCTGCCCTGCAGCTGTGCCTCTGGCAGATCTCAGTGCCCGTCGGCCACGTCATCGACCTGCACTTTCACAACTTCAGCCTGGAGTCACACGAGGACTGCAGCTTCGACTTCGTGGAGGTGCACGACAGTGCAGGCACGGGTGTCGCCAGCCTCATGGGCAGGTACAGGCACACCCCTAATATCTCTGGTCCAGCTGCAACAGTCTGGCTGCACTGGGATCCCATGGCTCAGCTGGGAAACTGAGGTACAGGGCAGGCTGGTGAGGAGGAGCCGCCAGAGGACAGGGTTTGGGGAGGTGCTGGTCAGACCCATTGTCCACCCTGATGGCATCCCTTACCCTGTGTTCCTGGCAGGTTCTGTGGCCATCATCTGCCACCCACCCTGACCTCCTCACGCCATGTCATGACCATCCTCTTCGTGGCAGACGAGGGAGTAGCAGATGATGGGTTCTTCGCCACCTACCAAGCCCGTAATGCCACAGAGAGTAGGTAGCTAAGCCAGGGCACAGGCTGCCCACAGGTGTCCATGCACATGGCTGAGCTCATGCCCTTCCTTGCTGGCTCCTCTCATCTTACAGAGACCTGCAGCCCCACAGAGTTCTCCTGCGGGAATGGCGAGTGCCGGGCGCTGGAGTCCGTGTGTGACGGCTGGCACGACTGCCCCGACAGCACCGACGAGCTGAACTGCACTGGGGTCTCCTACCCAGCCTTTGGTTAGTGCCACCCGCTCCACTCAGCCCTCATCCCCCCCTGAGCACACCTGGCCCGGGAGACATGCTGGCAGGTGCCCTGTGGCTAACATTTGCCCGAGGCACACCTGCTGGGCATCACTGCCTCTATAAGAAGTGAAGCCCCTTGCCCTGTGGCAGAGTCTGTCTGTGAGCCTGTGGAAGTGGAGATGTGCCTGGGGCTGGGCTACAATGCCACCTCCTTCCCCAATATCTGGCTGGCCATCCCGGACCAGGAGGGAGCTGCTGAGGTGCTGCAGGATTACCAGGTGAGCTGCTCGGGGGCTGCACACAGCTCTGCCCACACCACGCCATGCCATGCTCACCACCACTCTCCCGCAGACGCTGAT